AGCCTCTCCTTCGTGTTCACTGTTCGCATGATTTGCATCCATTTTATGACCGTTCCGATTGTCTAGTGGATAGAGCGTCTGCCTCGGATGAGGGAGGTCGCGGATTCGAACCCCGTACGAGTCATAACAAAGACTTTTAAAAATTGCACTAACAGTTGCCTCGCTTGGCGCTAAGCATTGAGATGTATATTAGGACTGGTCGGCCTGGTGTAAGGATAATAAGGCTGGATGGGACATCATTCTGTATGACTGCGGCATGATGCCCCTGTGTTTGTTTGTACTCCACCTACCGATTTCAATAATGGAAACCTTTGATGTGATAAAAATTGCAAGGAACTTAGTTAATTCATTCATTGATTTATATTTTCTAATCTAACTGTTGAATAGAATGGCCCTAACACCGTCGTCGTCTGCATGTTTGATGCTTAACGGAATTTTTCAATATAATAGACGTACATTCTCGATGTCCATTTCCTGTTCATGGACAAGTCCATTTTTTCCATATAGGTATGAGCACAACTACTGATGTACATACATAGGTTGCTTGCTTCAGATATTTACAATGTCGAATCGAGCAAAAGAAAAGAATGTCGACAACAGATTTGCTTTTCACTTTGATTTAACAAGCGGTTTAATAAATGTGTTCCATGTGTGCAAAGGGATATAATTTCAAACTCAGCATTATGGTAATTTATGGAATTGTTTGGCAGTTATCAAATAGGATAAACTACGTCATTGCTGTATGATGGAAATAAACTAACCTTATAGTGTATGCAATATGGCGCCGTGTTAGTATGGAAAGTATATCAAGCATGAAAGGTGTTAGGGGGGTGTCATATTAATGCCAATCTGGTGACCGTTAGGTTAGAAATTATAAATAAATGATTTAGTTGGCTTTTTTGCTGTGCATTTTTTTTATCATATTAAACGTTTTCGTTATTGAAATCGGTAAGGGTGTACAAACTGGGATGTATAGTCAGACTAAACTACAGGCACGTTACATGTCCAACAAATCAGATGAACTTAACATGTATTACTCATGCGTTGAATCGTGTGCCAAAGTGGTTATGGAGACACGTTTACTCTCATTTAATACTAAGTTAAATATTAACTTGTCTGCAATTGAATATTAATATATCTGAACCATATGAATTCGCTCGTGATTATTGGGCGTTCGGCACTTGAAATATCATTTTTTTTAAAACTGGGACGAAATATGTTCATTTCTTTGAACTTTACAATTACTCAGTTGGTTCAAGAAAATAGGACGTCGAATATTAACTGCTGATAATAGTTTTTCAACTATGGTTAATATTGAAGGAAGAACGCAACCGAATACGACCAGGAAAAGATGTAAAATTTGATACTGTAAAATTAAATACGTAAAAATTAGAAACGATTGCTTTGTAAGTTTTCTCGTCTTTTTTCTTCATTAAAATGTTTTAACTCTGTTATCATAGAGGTTTACAGACAAACTAAATTTTGGAATACTAGAAACTATTTACTGTTGATAAGGTAAGGTACACTGACTGGAAGTGTGATTATAATCAGATGCACACGTGTCCATGCAGGAATGAATCGTATGAATGAATCGTAGACACGTGCTTCCTTCAATTCCATTAACAATCAGCATAGCAACAGGAAAAGAACATTCTTACAATGCTCCAATGCTAATTATATATTATAAAAGCTAATTAATAATGGATTACGATTCTTTCCCTATACTGTTATTGCAAAAGAATCGACCCTTAAGAAAATGTAGAAAGATTTTTAAAAATAGTCGATAAAATTGCACACACGTAAAACAATAAAACTCTGATGCCAGTGTCTACCGAAAATAATGCTGATGAACATGCGAAATTTATTAAAGAAAAAATGTATCCACGAACTCCGTATATGTACCGGATGCCGGCTTGAGTATGCATCCTTAATGTAGTGTGTATTGCTTATGTCAACTAACATAATCGCAAACGAGATGAAAATGTAACCCGATTGCCTGAAGGCACGTGCCATTTACGCATGTTACATTTAGTTGCAAACTGACCAATATTGCATTATATCCATGTTAATTATTCGATTGTATCTCTCAAATAAGTCATTATTTTAAAATACATTCACTGTGAGTGCAAATGATCTTTTCGCTTCGCTAACATAGGTTAATAAAAGTATTATTAAAGCAAGTTATTTTTATGTATACTATTTGCCCTGTAAACATCAATTATGATTACGTACGGCAAACAAATAGAAGACCGGTAATGAACAAACACAGCGAGCAATAAACTCCTTGCTTAAACTTACCGACAGGAAATCAAATACCATGGTTACAAAGCAAAACAACCCCGAAAACTGATTGTTTTTTTGTGTTCCGATTTTTTTTATTACGAAGTCGGCCTTCATAAATAAGGTAAGTTTGGTACCTTTTGATGATTTTTTTTAAGTGTGCCGATTTATTTTTCTTTAGAAAGTAAGCTGACATAGGGAAGCCATCATGGATTCATTTTTACCTGTATTAACGGAAATTTCTTTTTAAAAAAAATTGAATTAATGGAACAGTTTTGAAAGCGACAGAATCTAGTGCGTTATACACGCATTTCAATAAAAGGCTGAACAGAAAATTAGTTTTCAGTAGTTTCATATAAACGTTCTCTATCCATAGTTTATGGTGTTTTATTTTTTTGACAACAAGCATGTAATTCGTTAGGTTGGGATTAATATACATCATTTCCGGCTGGCTTTCTCTATTGGTGGTTAATCGTAGCTAGGGGGAAGTAACATCATAGTATACTTCTATTCGAGCAACTAAGTTATTTCTTCTTTAGACTTAATAATTTTTTGTTCATTTATGCGAGTATAACTACTTTTAATCATGTATTGTAAATCTGATGTATAAAATGTTGGTGCATGGCTGTTGACCTTTAAACTGTTTAATTTAACAACTACATCCATCAACTACATGAACAGCAAAACGCAGAGTTGCAGTATAGCTAATTGTAAACTAACTCGTATAATTATCTTAGGAAATTCGGAATTGCAGATGATTACAATACTTTATTTGTCTGAAGTCCTGAATAAAGTAACTAAATAACTTATATACATGTATTCAAAACACCGGACGAGATAAAGAAATGAATACCGGGATACTGGAAACCTAATATTATGAAGGAAAAAAAAAAACGAAATACATCCAAATGCACTTGTTTTTATCATGGCCCACATGAAGTCAAATGTCTCGTAATTTGCATGTGTTTGAACAACGAAACAAAAGCAAAACATTTTACCTGTGGACTTTTGTAACGAAATTGGTCTTTGACTGGGTCTGTGTGTGTGGCATGTCCAAATATTACGTAAGTGAAAAGTTATAAATTGTAAACTTTAAAAAAGTCATATGAATATTTAGGGACAATGAAATTTTTGTTCAAGAAAATGCGTTTATATGAGCTAATATGAGCAATTTGATAGTGTTTTAAAGGCAATTGATCGCGGTATTGATTTTACCGAGATAATGTACTCAATCATCATCTGGCAAGAATACTAATCAAGAAGCAACGAACGTTACATTTTGCATGTACATTAGGTCTTGCATACAATGCACGTGACAAACATAACAATAGTTTCACATAACAGGTCTATCTTTAACCCTATTGCTATCGCACTTTAGGTATTTAAAGTTAATTTGTGTTTACATTTTACTTTGTTTCCTGTTTTCTTTCACGGTATGATATGAAATTCTCTAAATATTAATCCACCAAAATTTATATCTCTGGTATCATCAATACTTCTTTCTTGACACCTGTTAAGATAATATAATGTACCTGCCATTATCTAATTGTCCAAACTAAAACCAATATGCATTCATAAATAATATTTAATAATAAAAAATATAAAATTCCATAGAGATAATATTCTAGTGACCATAATATATTATCACTAATTTTATCAGCGAATTAGAAAGTCTAGTATCTTCAACTTTGAAAACAATGCTGAAGAGTATCGATATGTGCTGAAATATTTTATTCCCTTTCAAAATTTTCTTAAAGCTGCATTGCCATTGACTAATTCAAAGTTTATATGAACATGACCACTAAGCTGTTGCAGGTGAAACGGTGGAGATCTGATTGGAATCGTATTGAAAACAAACTTTCAGCACGATCAGGAAATCATTGGGCAAGATGAACAGTTCTATACATTACAAAACGGTGCTTCGTTCCGTTCTGTTCGCTTTTATGATTGTAACTCTTTGTGGACCCATTTCCTCCCATGTTAAGATAGAGAAATTTAAAAGAACCCGTTGGTCTTAAAAATTTGATTGAATGTTCTATCTGTATGTTACCTTCATAGTCTGTTTTTGTGTGGAAAAAATTGGTTGAAAATATTTCATTGTAGAATAAAAGTTCTATCACCAAACTAAACCGATTTTGTTTTCTTCAGAAATGTTCCAACTCCACGGATGATTGCTGGCCTCGATAATCAAATATGTGACCCTTGCCAGGGATCGTGGCGAGCCCAGTGTTTTATACGTGTTGGTGCTATGTGAAGCTATAACGTGTACAAGTGCGGGTTTGTTGATTATTTTTTTTTTCTAGGCCTTGTCTTCTTAATTGATGGGGGAGGGGTATGAGGACATATTGTTTCGAAAGAGTCGGCTCGCCAAACCTCCTCTCCTCTCGCCGAGTTAGGCAGAGAAAATATTCCTTTTTTTCTATATCTCCGGTATATTATATGTTCAATATTTTGAATTTCATAATCTGAACAACAACAAAAAAATGAACTGATGTGTGTATATTATATACATTGATTCTATTTACCACCCCTCCTTCCGATATTTTCCCCAATCGCATTTGAGATTCTGAATCAGTTTGTGACATGTTTCGTTCATCTCAAAACCATTTTTTTTAAAGTATTGCCTGCATAAGTGCCAGGTCGGTATTGTATGGGTTTATTCACCTTTAAAGGCGTTTCCTCCTGCAAGCCAGGTGTCATGTACATAAATACACATAACCGCTCCGGTGGCATAATGGTTAGAGTGTCTGCCTCAGATGCGGGAGGTCGTGGGTTCGAACCCCGACCGAGTCTTACCAAAGACTTACAAAAATGGTACTAACAGCTTCATCGCTTGGCGCTCAGCATTAAGAGGTTAGTGTTAGGACTGGTCGGCCAGGTGTCAGGATAATGTGACTGGGTGGGACATTATATGCTACATGTCTGCGGCATGATGCACAAGTGCTAGACATCTCTATCACTGCCACACTGTAGAAATCGTGGCGATATGGCTGAAAATTTTTTTAAAACTACGTTTAAAATCATAACATCACATTATATTACTATAGCTAACCTAGAGTAGAGCTCACAAGTCTTCAAAATGACCTTGAAAAGCTCGGTATTACACCATGAAACTTTTTCAGCATTATCTTAAACTTTAGGCAAAATAGCAATACTAAAGAAAGCCCAGAAAAAAGCAATTCTTATGAAACAAACTCTTGTGTATAATAATGAAATTAAAAAGTGCATATGCATAACCAGCAAAATTGGCAAAATTGAAAAATTTAAAAAAAACTAGCAAATAATGCGGAAAATAATTTATACAGTAAAGTACAAGAATTGTGTGTGAAATAAGCTGCAATCTTGAAATTAGCATATATTCTGTTTGATTTCTCCTTTATTCTGTCTGCTTTGTCCGGGCCGTAGTAAACGTGCTGGTTTAAAGTCAGCAAAAATCTTTATTTCTGAAGTTAACACATCGGCATGACTCACCCTTGCTAGGACTAGAATATGGATCACATATATCATTGGGGGGAGGGGCACCAGACAGATCCCCCACTTATCCCCAAAAAGTGTTTTCGTGTATCCCCCTAATAATTGTTGCTTGTGTTTCTATTTTAAAAAGAATTTAGATCCCAAGTTTTCCAATTAGGTTTGGATATTTTTCCCCAAGTGCTATCTAAAAGATTAGTTTCCCGCTCAGGTTTCAATCACTCGATAAGGAAACTTCAGTTTCCTGTCCAGTGACCATTGCCAGAGGTCCATATGTCTTGTAAGTGCTATAGTTGTATTACACTATTGTATGAATGCTATAGATGTCAATGTAAGGACAGCAAGGTGACAAAATTATTTACCAAGTTTCCTAATAAAGTTATTGTGATGTATATTTAAGTTACTCATATTTCATTTTTTAAATTTGGAATTTTGACTAAGAAAATGTGCACTAAATAGACTTATTTTTTTCAAAACAAATAAAACCTATTGTTTTAGGTGAGTGTTGTATCGTGTCGTTTATTATTTCTAATTTTGTTGTACAAGAGGGTGGTCATAAGACTATTCTTGTAAGGAGCCACGCATCACTATTTATTTCAGGCCACAAATTTTCCTTACAATATGACATAGCCATATTCCACACTCTCAAACATTTAAACAAAATAGAAAAAGTCCAAAAGAATATTTATATTTCTATATATTTTTAATTAGTCGCTATTTTTTCTTAATATTCTGGAAAACATTTGTACAGGTTTTCCCCCATGTGTATGTGCACGTCATTTTGGGAGGATCTTAGTCCGGCCTCCCCACTTTGCGTGGCTCCATGTTCTTTAGGCCGTTGGCTTTTCTCCTGCTTCATCCATGTAATGATTAATCCATATAAAGATTCCCCTTCTGTTTCATCCACATTATTAGTTTCAGTAAGCTCGTTTGTGATCCCCATGTTACAGGTTTCCATTTTAGTCTCTTGTCTGTTTCCTTGTTTGCTGTCCATGTCTGTTCTTGTCCATGTCCGTGATGATATTGTGGTCATTGTCATTATCAAAGACATGTTCGTCTTTAATTTCTTTATCCATTTCCGTGCATGTTTTCATATTTTGTTCCCCAGCATTCCCCACTGATTTTTCTGCTGTGCTTCGTTCTTTCTTCTTTATTGGGAGCAACTTACTCCCTTCGTCTCTAGCTTCTGATAGTCTTTCATTCCCGGATAAGGAAATCAGCCGCAATTTCCTCTTTTTTTTCTTTTTTTTTTTGGAAACTGGAGTAGTTGGAGTAGATGTAAGGAGTTTAATTCCCAAAAGGTCATTTGGACCGCTTTACTTTAGTTCATTGGGAATCTCTGTTATGACCTCAAATTTCTCTTCCTCCGTCAACGAGAAGAATCTATTACTCTCAAGGAGTGAGTCTATCATCTAAATTTCTGTTTCTTATAGAGTAATGGGTGGGGGTTTAAAAGGGGTTTAAAACTTATCCCACACTTGACCTTGTATTTATTCATCAGATTAATCTTTTGGAGATTTTCGAGTTCTCATAATCTTGTGTTTCAATCTGGGACATTTCTTGTATTTCCTCCTCTTTTTCCCCCATTGATTGTACAATAGTTTGCTCTGTTGATAAATCCACTGCATTTTGAATTTCGGAGAAATTTCTTTCATTTAAGTTGTCATTTACAGTGTTTTGGATTACTTTCCTCGTATATTTTGCTCCTGCGAATGTTTCTCCAAACAAAAAGATATGGCAGTCTGCAGTCTGGCGGCATGGACAACGTTTCTAAGCTTTAAGCATTTTCTACCCTTCTTACGCCCATGTTACCACGTTTTTAGCAAAACGTCCATTACATAGAAATATAAGGGTATCTTTTTGTCTCTTCTCTTATAATATAAACTATTCTCGCCCTCGCTTAAACACTGGGCAAGCCCCATACTGTTTTCATTTTGTGGTTCTTGATCTTAGTCTGAAACTTGCCTTCTATCTTAGCAACAATGTCTTCTGTTTCTACCTCAAGAATTAGCCCAGACACAAAAAGATCTAATTGCCTGCTCTCTACTTAACAAACTATAGAGAGTTTCTTGTATAATCCTGCTCTACAGTCCCTGACTTCAACCCAGTCTCTTTTCCAAAATCGGCATCTGGTATTCCTTGGGGTACACTACATATTAGTTGGAGCCTACATTTTGAAGGCCACCAATTTTTGCAATGTTGAAACCCTGCAGTTTCATTGCTGATAAAATGTCGACTTGCCTAGGACAATTATTGACATCGCTGAGGTCAATATTCTAAACTCCTTCAGGACCCTTTGGCAATTTCTGACCTGAAATAGTTTATTGCTTGCTGCACCTTAGTGTTAATTGCATTTTCTACTTGCGCTTGTGCCATTTCACCGCGTAAAGCTCATTTGCAATTTGAAAAGGAAATTGAGAAGTAAGATCACATGCCACTAATTGCTTAAATACGATAGTTGGTAAAAATCAAATCTATTGCACAAAGGAACCAAACTAAGAAAACTCTGTAAATGTATGGAACTAAAAAAGATGAAAGTGACACAAAATGTAAAAGCAAAATGAAAGTGAAGAAATGAAAATAAAGAAAAAAGCCCAATAAAAAATAAAATTCAAAATTTCAAAATCCCAAAAGGTTTTAAATTATATTGTTGTGAATAAAACTAAACAAATCTAAATGTATACTTATAAACAAGTTCCCTCGATCATTCAGTATCCTTAACGTTCCTTCCTTTAAATGGGGGACGGTGGAAACCAGACATGCCCCACACTAAACCAGAAAAATGAGTTGTTTTTTGTTTTTGTTTTCCTGTATCCACCTCAGAGGTTAATGTTTCTAGATTCTAGAAGAAATTCTGATCCTAATTTCGAGTGGGGTACTTTTGTCCCTAATGTTATCTTAAAGACGAGTTTCCCGCTCCGGTTTTAATCACTAGATTGTTAAAACATCTTTTTATATCTAGTGATCTTTCCCACAGGTACCTATGTCCTCTGTGTGATAATCTCTTTATTGCTATATTGTGTGTATGCTATATATGTATAGGTAAGGTCGGCAGAAAAATAAAAAATTCTTCCAGTTTTCGTAAATGAAATCGGTATTAAAGACCATTTAAAATTTTAGTTTCATAATTTGCAAAGGAAACTGTGTACAAATTACGTTTATTTAATAAAATAAAGCCTAGTGTTTTAAATGAGTGTAGAAATGTCTTTTTTTAATTTTGGTAATATGGTGGTTAGTTATAAGCCATGTCAGTAAGTAGCCACATGTCATTATTTCTTTATACATGTTTCTCTTAACATAACATGGCCTTAATTTCACACCCTCTACCATTTAATGCCAAATATAAAGGTCCAAGAGGAGGATATAAATTTGTGAGCATTTTCGGTTTGTCCCTTTATTTTTTTAATTATCTGGGATCCAAATGAAGACGAAAGTTAAACCCTTAGCTTTTATGCATTGTATGTCTATTTTCTGAACATGTCTTTTTCGGGGGCTATTATACTGGCAAGCCCACTTCGCGTAGTGCCTTGTGATATAGCCCGGTGGCGTTTTTGTCTCTATTTCATCGATGTGCAGATACACTGTCCCTGTCTATTTCGTGAAATATTGTTTCATATATAAATATATTATAAATTTAAAATTAAAAGAAAAGTCATTTAACCTCATATTTTTGTATCAGGATTCCGGTCATATTGGGTTGATTATTAAAGGAAAATAATTATTATGAATTGGATTTATTATATTTTGCTTTCCTGTTTTCTCTTCTAATTTCCGCTACTGTTTCTAACAGGTCACTTTTGTGTTTGTTTTGGTTAGTCTTATTCCTAAAGATAAAGCTGTCGTAGGAGATTGATTTGCGCCTGCACTTCATGCTTCATCATTTTGCATTTCTCTTGAAGATTTTGACTTTGCTCATCCTCTGTGGATTTAGTGTTTGTTGTTGTTTTCCATCTGCTTGGTTGTTATTTCCGTTATTCTAGTGTTCAATTGTTGTTTTTGTTTTTTTTTGCTCCATCATTTGCCTACTTGTTTCTGTTAGGTTCACTTCTTGGGTTTTTTGGCTTTTGTAACTTATTTTATATTGTTGCCGATGTTGTGGGAATTGAGTGATTATCTATTTGTGGTTTTCGTCTTGGTGCTGATTTGTTGTTTTAGTCTGTTGTTCTTTCTCTGCTCTTTGGAATATATTTGTTGCTGCTTCTGCTTTTTGCGAAAGATCGATTGTTCTTGCTGCTGTTAATGTTCTATCATTGGTCTTCTAGTGATTCTCCCATGTTCTCTTGAATATTTTTGACATTTGTGTAGGGTGTGTCCTGTTTATT